TTGAACGGAAAAGTTACTCCTTACTGAGAATCTTGAAAGACCTTAAAGAAAGGCCTTACACTACAAACAAAGCTAATTCTCAGGGTGAGAGAAAACTGACCATACAATTCCATAGCTGTTGTGTGTCCTGAGAAGAAAAAGGAACAGTTTGAATAATTAGTCTTGCTGGGTTGTTTCTGGTCAGTCATATTTTGTTTGTTGTAGGTGCCATACTATTTTTCAGGTAAGACAGAAACTCAAATTGGAATCTAACTGGATTTGATTTAATTACACAGTATGATAGTTTCTTAGGTGCAAACAACACAACATGATCTTTTTCCTAAACACAGGTTTAATTTTCAACAAAGCACTTCTCACACAAATACCACATTGTTTCTAAATTCTTATTGTCATTCCCAGAATTGCTTGCAGCCTTTCAGAAACACATTATTTTATAATTATAAACAACACTATTAGAACAGGACAATCTGTGCCAAAAAAAAAAAAAAAAGCACATTTACACTCTGACTCATCACTTAGCACTGTCACAGGAAGAATCATCTTCATTTCCATAGAGATCAAGAAAAGTCACACTTTCTGCCTTTGAAACTTTCAATTTCTAGATGGTATGGGAGTTACTGACTTGTCCCAATGATTCTCTCATTACTGTTCTAACAACCCCTAGCAAAAAAGCTCAGACCACTGCAGTAGCGGTACTGTGTGGTAGAAAATTGACAGCCCTGGAAATCAAGCCAACTTGGACTCTGCCCCTTCCAATTGGACAATTTATTCCTTGCTCTCAGATTCACTTTATGTGAAATGACTGTGTTAGTAACAGCTGTATTAGAAGGTAATTCATGCAATTAAATTAAAACTGTCCCAGGTACATGTCAAATATTTGCCAAATATAATATATTAATATTATTATTAATACATTATTTCAGGTAGAATTTATTATTATTATTATTTATACATTATAGGCTGTGTGACCACAGGAAAAATTGTCTATTCTCTCTGGACATTTCTGCATTTTGACCAAGTGAACTCTACCAAGATGCCATTACCCCTTTTATGTGCTGGAACCTGGGCTGCCAGGTTCTTTGGGAACTTTCAAGATATCTCTATAAGTGGATTACCAAAATTATATCTCAGTTTCTATCATGAAGGATATTCTCCGGGCATAGGTTCCTACTTCATTAGGAATGAGCAATATTTGGCCTTTGTATGATATAATTCTAGAAACAGGAGCTTTTAACTTTCTGTCTTTCAGAGAAGTGATCCTCCTTGCCCTGTTTCTCCATTCTGTCTGAGAGACAACATACTGGCTGAGACAATATGTATGAGATCTCCTGCTTAGGAGATCTCTAGGATCCCAGGCCAATAAATCAACTGTATGCCAGGCTTGTGATCTTTCTCATTCTTGCATGTGCCCCTTTAATAAGGTAAGTTAAGATCTGTGCTGAGTCTTCCCAAAACACTTTCATTTGTCTTTAAAAGTAGCCTTACTTTGTAGTAGACAATGGTCCTAATGCCTAAGTAATCAAACTGAAATTGGAATATGAAACCTGTTTTAAATTACCTTGTGAAGATATGACACAACCACAATTTGAACCTGTCAACTCTTTGCATTTACTAAAACTGCTAAGTGAAAGAAAGCACATTATCTCATTTAAAACTTTGCAACCTCCTTCTTTAGTAATAACTAGAATAATTGATGGTGGGGATATATAAAACAAACTCTCTAATCACTTAATTTTCAGTACATTTGCAAAATAAATTGTTTACATTATAGGCACTAAACTGAAATGCTTCATATCCTTCAATTTCACAAAATTAAAGAAGTCACAGGAATGATATGAGTCGGAAACTCTATGAAATGGACATACTCTCCTCCTTCACAGTCCAACTTAAATTTCATATCAAGGTGCAATGCAAAATCAGTGTCCTCATACCCTATCAGCTTATTGATTTCATTGAGTTAGTTTCCAGTGAGAAGACTCAGCCATTTAATGAATGTTTGAAAGAATGCCCAATTAAAAACCATGTGACAGAAGAAATCCCCAAATGAATGTTGGGAAATTGAATAAAGACAGAAACAGCTGGTCCTATTAGCCTGGCACATTAGCATAAGTTGAAGCTTCATGGAAAGAAATTTATTCTATCAGAAAAGTGAGCTGAAATGTGGAGACAGATCATAGTTATAAGAGGAAAATTGGTAACGTCAAATACTACCTTCACATATTCCCCAGCTCCCCTTTTGGCACCTCTTTCAGCCTAGTACTTATCCTCTGATACTAACTTCATAACCAGAATCTACTTTTGCACTCTGAATACAGTATACAATAAAATAAATAAAAATAGGGAATAATAACATTCAAATCTTCACCCCAAAAGAAAAGAAACATAAAGAAACCATTTGATGTAGTCAGTTGGATTTTTAATTTTGCCATTTAATGCCTTGTGTGCTTTGGATATGTTAATAAAAATCTTAAAGCCTTAGTTCCCTAATGTGATATTGGGAGTATTCATCAAATTGGTATCGCATGAGAACTTTCCTCAGATATCACACATAAATTATGAGAATAGGACTTTAAAGTATCCAAGAAAGAAAACTATTGTTAGAGATCTCTTCTTCCCCAACCTTCATAATTTTGGAAAAGATAATGTCAAGCAAACAAGTAAGAATATTCATGCAAGTGACAGGCAGGAAATTTCAAAGCTGTGCAAATAAACTTGACAGCTAAAATCTATAGTACTTTAGAGTCTTAACTTGGAGGTCCAGAGGACAAAGAACATCAACACAAAGAGAAAGTGCATTCTTTTTTTTTTTTGAGAAAGTGCATTCTTCAACCACTTGTTCTTCACATGAACAGGTATTGTTATGTACTTTGTCAGGCATGGTGCTCAAAACCAGGGAAGCCAAGGTGGTGGTAATGTGTGGGCCTCAGTTCCAAAAAACAAAAAAAAACAAAAAACAAAAAAAACAAAAAAACAACCAGGAACAGGAACATGTCAAGTCTACTCATGAGTTCCCAGGAACCCACTGAAAGACCTAAAAAGTAATGTTAATGATGGACTAACCTGGAAACCAATATCTGTTCCTTGGAATTTGCTAGCTTCCTCTCACAAGGCCCTGAGATAAGAATTCACACTGCCCCCTCCTTTCCTGTGAGTCAACAGGTGGTAAATGGGGTCCTTAGGAAACAAAGAGATAGCTGTAACTCTGGTTTGCCCAGACAAGATTAATTAGCACACCTGAGGCCCTAAGGTCTGCTGACCCTAATAGCAGACCATCCGGCCTCCAAGTGTCACATACTCAATGGACAGAGGGTTCCACCCCCTCCCTAAGCTTGTGGGGTTGCCTTTAAAAACACCTGGGCCCAGGGGAGGGGGCTTCTCTCTAGCCTGCGTGCTGGAGGAGCATGTTTGTGCAAACGTTTCCTGTTCATTAAAGCCTCTTGCGTTTTGCAGCAACTGGACTGGACATTGAGTTCTTGGGGTATTGACCGAACCTGGAAGTCTCCTCATTCTGAGGGTCTTACACCACTAGTGATTTCTCAAAAGGCTGTAGAGTCTAAGAGGAAGCTAGGGTCAGGTAACACCTATCAGTAGAAGGCAAGTAAAAAAAGAAACTATCTCCTTTAGTCACAGGAACTACTATGGTCCTACAAGCTGTGAAAACAACTGTGATCAAAAAGTTGTCATTGAGAAAGCTATTCAGTGCTTCTCTCTGACTACCCATGAGAAAGCCACTTACATTAAATATATATTTTATTTTATAATAGCCTAAAATTAATATACTGATATTCATATTATTTATAAGGTGCCTAGCTCTCAGACAAGTGAAGCCCAAATCACACAGCTGGTAAGCTTTGAAAATGATTTCAGAAAGTTATACTTTCCAAAATTCCAGATCTCTCGGGAAAGGCACCTGGTGTGCACTGTCAAAACTTCCCATGTCTTTCATTTCTTTTTTTCTATCCATATTTGCTACTTCTGATTAACTTTATTGCTCATGTATACTTTGTTGGAAGCTCCCCCAAGCTCTTTATGGAAAAAGATGTTATAAATAAACCACTCCATGCATAATGCATGCATGCATATGTATTTGCTTAATGATTCATGGTTTAAGTTGAGAAACCCTGACTGGCACTAACCGCGTAGAGAACTGTGGGGGTTTCACTTCTTGTTTTGCCAGCTTGAAGCATAGGCTAGAGTGCACAGTAGTTTCCCTGAGAGGGAAGAAGGACCAGGCTAGGGCCTTGCCTCTTGTGTGCTGTCTAGCTGACTGACAAGACCTTTACTGCATTGAATTTCAGGTTTTATATCATGAAAATGGAGAAATTAATTCTTGATCTGCTACCTCATCTGGCTAACAAGAGACTAATAATTGCATGGGTATGGACAAAAATTTAAGGTATCCAAACTAATGTTAATAACTCCATGCCACCATTTAGTTTATTTCAAGCAAAATTATTTAAAGTAATTTGTACAGGGCTTTCTTTCATCTTCCTCTTCTATTGTTTTGTATATCATTTATTTCTATCCTTACTTACCTCATCAGAAGTTTCCAGGATTCTAGTTCTTTCTGTCCCTAACTTACTTCACTTAGAATAAAGAAACTCCATTTCTATATTTTCACAAATAACGAGATTTCTCCTTTTCCAAGGTCAAATAACATTCCATTACATGTATATAGCATACTACCTCTATGAATTAACCTGCCAATGATCATTTGGGTTGTCTTCATAATTTGACTATTACGAATATGAACATAGGAATGTTCATATTGAACATAATGAACAAAGGAATCCCATGAGTTCTTTGTTTGCTTTTAAAATTGTTATTGCTAGATCTTACAACAGTTCTATTTTGGTTTCCTTTAACTAGAAACCTGCTCCGTTTCCTATAATGGCTCAACTATTTTTTACTCCCACCAGCAATATACAAGTGCTGAGTGAACATACCTATGTGTGCACGTGCAGGCATGCATGCATACACACACACACACACACACACACACACACACACACACAGTGTATATGCCAGTATATATACACTGGTATGCTGATCTGAATAAGGTGAAAGCCTATAGTGTTTTTAATGTTGCAGTTCCCTAAGAATGTCATCACTGTTCTTTCTTGTAATGACACATTAAAATGAACTTTTCTGAGAAGCTCTTTGAATGCCCTGTCTTCATAATGATAAAATCTTCCCTCCCCAGTAGGTGATACCTAACAAGAAGTAGCAATGTGTACTCCCAATGTCCACTCATCTCATAAAGCATGTCTAGCAATGGGAAGGATGAGAGGAAAGGACCTCAGATCTCCATAACTCCCTGAAAGTATCTTCCAGTCAAATAAACAGTGTACTTGCTGAAAAGAAACATTAATTGCAACATGTCTTGTGTTGCCACTCAGCTATGTGAGCATCTATGGTTCCAGAATTATCAAAAAGAAATGACCACATTATCTGATTCCTGTACATGCATTCCTCTCTGCTTTATTCCCTCGATTAAAAATATCCCATCAACCAAATTATTTTTAACACTGCCTCTGTGACATCCATAACTTAGTAGGTAATAATTTAAGAATGACACCCAGTGACAAAGTGACAGAGTGTATTTTACACACTTGCTTGAAAAATTATAGTTAAATATGGGCATTCCTAGCATATCTCTAACAACCTTATTTATGATATGCGTATATAAAGAAGGCATGAAAAGTGATAACTGAGTTTATAAAAATAAAAGTATATTAAGAACTTTTATTTAATAAATATAGCATACTAAGTACTGCCTAGGATGTCTGTGAACATGTATTAATCAGGTTTCCTGAAGAAATAGGTTCAAAAGAAAATGACATAAAATAGAAGATGAACTTTGAATCAGGTACTCAGAAAGTCAGTAGAATTTAAATTGCATTAAGTAGTAAAAAGGGAAAGTAAGCAAAGATTCAGTTCAGTTGGTAATTGAAACACAGTACATGATATATTTTATATAGTCAAAGGGCCTAGGGATAACTAATGCTCCTTTTTGCTCTCACTGGGGCTTAGCTTAGCCTCTTTTCCTTCAGTTTGATACAGTGGGCACTGATTATGATTCTTTGCCTGAGTTGGTGAAAGAACATACCTGGAAGATATGTAGTTTTATCAGAGTATTATCACTTTCTTCTCTGTAAGGTCCATTATGTTACCAGCTTCTTGGTACCTTGTGCATCATAGGACCCTTGCCTACAACAGAACCCATGATGAGCTGTAACATGTAATACTTGTAAATAGAATGAGTGTAAGACCCAGAGTTTTGTTCTCCTCAGATGGAAGTTGTTGCTTCTTGTTGATTGTTTTCTGTCTCTGCTGCTCCCTCTGGATCCCAGGCTCTTCCATCCAAAAGAGCTTTTTTGAGCCTTCTCCAAAAGATGTGCCTTCCCAGAGCATTGTCCTCCCACTCTAGGTAGGTGTTCCTGCTGAGAAGACGATACAACTCTACTTGTTGCTTCAGTAGGGACTTCTCCACCTTCTCCAGGACAATGAAGATGATGCCAGAGTGACTACTCAGAAACTGCCATGTCTGAGCAATCTCATATTCAAAGATACACCAGCGGCTCTGGATAAAGTGTCTAGACACCACAACAATAACCTTCCGGCTCTTGTGGAAGCCTTCCTGGATGATGTTGGCAGCGATGGCCACACCAGGAATAAAATCTCTGTAGTGGAGGCACAGCTGAAAGGGGGGCACCCCTTCTTCTAAATTCTTTACCAACTCATTTCTCACCCAGTCTTCATCCCGGCTGGAGTAGATGACAAAGGCATCATAGATGCTCTCACCTCTACTGTACTTTTTACAACCAGCAATAAGTATCAGGTGAAAATAGAATTTGTAGACCAGAAATGCTATGGTGGATACCACAAGCACACTGATCACTGTCACACTAATGATGGTCTTCTGCATATAACAGGTGGCATTCCTAAAGTCCAATACCAGGGAGCCCTTCATCTCTACAGGTGTTGCACATGTCATTTGTTCAGTGTTCACTAGAAACAGCCTCTGGTCCTTGACCCACTGCAGGAAGTTCTGATGCTCACATATACAAGCAAAGGAATTATGAGAAAGATTTAAGAAGGTTAGATTCTTTGGAAAATGTTGAAGTATTCCTTTGGATGTTTCTATGTGATTGAAACTGTAATCAAGAGTCTTGAGAGAGTGCAGCTGTTTATAATAGAATGGTTCCAAAATAAGTAGATTGTTGTGACTCATATTTAGTAACTCAAGTCTATGGAGTGTGTCAAATACCCCCGAAGATACTTGTTGCAGTTGGCATTTAGAAATATCCAGGAATGTCAAGTTTGTAGTATTTGTAAAGACATTTGAAAGTGTGTTGTCTTTGAAAGAATTGCCAGCCAATTTTAAGGTGTTGAGACTGGTCAAACCAAAAAATATGCCATTGAAGTCAATTTTGGTGTTAGTATAAGAGATGTCAAGATAAAGAAGTTTTTCAAGGGGTAAGAACATTGAGAATTCTGTGGCCTTTTTTAAAGTGGAATGTTGAAAATCCAAGTATTCCAGCTGTTCTAAACCCATGAAGTTTGAATTCATGCTGATGACACCATTGAAGCTGAGGTCTAAGTGTTTCAGGCTTCTTGTTCCCAAAGCAGAATAAGAACAGCAACCCCTAAAACTCATACCATTTCCACTGAGATCTAAAAAAGTGAGGTTTGGCAGATTCACTTCCTCAAAACTGGTAGCCCCTCTGTTGGTAGCAAAAATCAACTTTTTAAGAAAGGGGAGTTCCAGAGGTGGGAATTGTTTGAGTTCACATCTAATGACTGCTAAGGTTTGCCATTTGAAATATTTAGGAATGTCTTCTAGGTGCTTCACATACACATTTGCCAGAGAGATTGCAGAAACATTTGCCAAGCAATAGAAGTCGGTGATATCATTAGAAAACTCATCTGCATACGTTAGCCGGAACTCATCAATGGTCACCTTGCACAGTCCTTCCATGACAGAGCGGTCAAACATTTCCACCTTCCTTTCATTTTTAAATTCTCCCAAGATCAGCCGATGGACTTGTAAACCATCCAGGTTTTGAATGCAAGTTTTCATTACATTTGTGCTATTAAAATTACTTCTTAGAGTCATTTCATGGAGCTTAATTCCTAGAAAGGCTCCAGGTTGAATAAAGTCAATTGGGTTCAAGGACAACTCTAGAGAGAGATTGAGCTGGGGATTTTCACGTAAAGTCTGTAAGTCTGTGTAGTAAATTCTTTGAATATAGTTATTAGAAAGGTCCAAGTGTTCTAGGTTAGTCAGATTGGAAAAATATTCAGGTAGCTTAAAGGAATGTATAAGATTGTGAGCCACATTGAGTTTCTTTAAAGTTATAAGGTGTCCAATAGGTAAGCTGTCTAGAGAAGTCAGTTTTATTTCCACAACCACTAGATTCTGTAAACTTGGTAGTCCAGAAAAACTTCTCTGGGATAAATTGTGGATAGGGTTTCCTGTCAGTATCAAGGTTGAGAGCTGGTGTAAACCCTGATATGCCTTGTCTTCAATTGTCTCAATTTCACACCTAAGGGTAAAAGAGATACCAATTATGTATTCTTGCTTAATAAAGCACTATAATATCATAACAATTCCTGAAATACCACATTAAAAACAGATGTGATAGACCATGGGATTGTGAAGAAACAAACATAGGAAGCAAGGCAGGTGACAATGGAGTGAGCAGGAAAGAAGCTCTGTAGACTCAGCCTTCTCATATTGGCTACACAAGTTGCAAGTCAGCAAATCCATCAGGAGGAAATCAATTCAAGATCAATAATTGGGGCACATAACAAATGTTTGACAGAATATGTAATAATCTTAGATTATATTAAGGTGTTTTGTCTTTGCTGAAATAGCTCAATTGGGAGAGCATTAGACTGAAGTTAAGGCATTTCTTTCTGCACATGGCTGTGATTGTACATCTAATGGGTACAGACTATATGGGTGGTTGTTAGTAGTCATGATAAATGACTGGTGAAAGTCGATTTCAAACACATAAATAATTACACATAAGTGTCAAGGATGGAATTAATATTTACAAAAAGTTACTCATATATGACAGCTGGTATTTTATTTTTTATAATTATTTTATTTTACATATTGATCCCATTTCCCTCTCCCTCCCTCTTTCCCTCTTTCCTACCCTCCCATGCACCCCGAACCACCTTCCCCTCCATCCCCCACTCCACATGTAGGGTGAGGCCCTCCAGGAGGGGTCATCTAAATCTGTCAAGTCATTTGGAGTAGGGACAAAGTCTTTTCTCCTGTCTCTAGGCTAGGAGGGAATAACCCTCCATGGGAGATGTGCCCCAAAGTCATTTTGTGCACTGGGAATACATCCTGGTTCCACTGTCCTGTCTGAGGTCCCTTAGACTGCTTAGGCCTTCTAGCTGAGACCCATGCTCAGGGGATCTGAGTCAGTCCCATGACAGCTGGTATTTTAAATCTGTCATTATCACAGGTAAATGTTAATTGGTGACATGAGTAAGCTTTGTGGAAGAAGCAGAAAGTGGGCTATGAATGTTCACATCACAAGAATTGACCCCCCCCCCCTTTAGAGAACAGAAATAGACTTGTCTGAGATTTAAGCAGAATTTTGAATGATAAATAGGAAAAAAAAAAAAAGTAAAGCAAACAGCAGGTCTAAAAGCCAAAGTAGCCATCAGGCAGGCCAAAACTGGATCTAAAACACAGTCTCTGTGGCAACCAAGGAAGGGCAACATTAAGTTGTAAAGAGGGGGGTTTACAGACAGAGATTCAAAAGCTCAATAAAATATTATGAATTTTATTCCAAGATAAATGTAAGCTGTGCTATATACAGCATCCATAGAGACAAGCTAGCAACAGAACTCACATGCAACTGACATACAGTGATGCATGATATTCTTCACTGATGTGCATGACAGACATAGTTTGCAAATGAGTCATTTCCAAATCTATTAGAGTATTCCTTACTTTTCCTATCTTCTTTGGGATATTCATAGGTAATAAGATCAATCTGATCAGTTCTGTCACTTATTGATAATTTGCCAAAAGGTGGGGGGGTATGGTAAAAAGAATATTGGAAGAGAAAAACCATATAAGGGTTGTATGTATCTACTTTTCTGGTTACACGCATAATCTTTGGAACCCATATTTCGTGTGGGTTTTTGATGGAGGATGTCCTTATGTATAAATATTTCTCTTATTGACTGATGAATAAAACACCAATTGGCCAGTAGCCAGGCAATAAGTAAAGGTGGGGCAATTGGACAAGGAGAAGCCTGGGAGAGGAAGGCAGGAAGAAGTAGTCAGAGAGACACCATGCTGCCTAAGGCATAACATGCCAGATTATGGGTAAGCCACAGCTTCATGGCAACATACAGATTAATAGAAATGGGTTAATAATTAATAGAGAGTGATCCAGTATGAAGCCCTAGCCATTGGCCAATCAATTTAATAATTAATGTAGTGTCTGTGTATTAACTTGGGGCGAATCGTCTGTGGGACCAGGCAGAACAGAAAAGCTCCCTATCTTCAGGTTTCCATCATCCCACTTCTAAATGATAAAACTCAGTTTGATTCTTTCTCAAGCTCCCTCTTTCAGTTATAGGATGCCATATCCTACAATCATACATATATTTTCATATATAGCAGATAAGGAAAAAGGGGTCTTTCTCTGTTTCTATCTCATAATATCTAGCTCATAAATTTAGAGAAATAGAGTGACACAATAGCAAACAAACAAAAACAAACAAACAAACAAAACCTTTGAACTTGTAAGCTGGAGACAGGAGCTGATGCTCTAGTCTGTTGAGATAAACAGCATTACCCACTATTACTGTAGACAAGTCAATCAAATCCTTCAAAAATCAGTTTTCTTAGACACAAGAAAGGAAAATTCATACATGCACATGTTTTTTTTTTTTTTTGCTTTTCTTATTTTCCTTTTTTTTTTATTTAAATTTGAAACGAAGTTGAAGTTGGTTTACATGTCAATCCCAGTTCCCTCACACTTCCATCCTCCCTTATCATCCCTACAAAACTCCAGCCCATCCCCTTTCTGCTCCCCAGAGAGGATGAGGCCATCCATGGGGGATCTTCAAAGTCTGTAACATCATTTGGGGCAAGGACTAGGTCCTTCCCCATTTGTGGAATTGGCTCTCAAAGTTCATTCCTATACTAGGGATAAATACTAATCCATTACTAGAGGCCCCATAGACTGCCCAGTCCTCCTAACTAATGCCCACATTCAGGGGGTCTGGGTCAGTCCTATGCTGGTTTCCCAGATATCAGACTGGGGTGTATGAGCTCTCCCTTGTTCAGCTCAGCTGATTATGTGAGTTTTTCCAGCCTAGTCTTGACCCCTTTGCTCATCACTCCTCCCTCTCTGTAACTGGATTCCAGGAATCTGGCTAGTGTTTAGCTGTGAGTATCTGCTTCTGCTTCCATCAGCTACTAGATGAAGGCTGTAGGAATGCATATAAGGTAGTCGTCAATCTCATTATTGTGGAAGGGCATTAAACGTAGCCTCTCCACTATTGCTTAGATTGTTAGCACATATGTTTCTAAGAGCTACCTGGTCTATTACAAATCACTCTTAGAAGCCCAGTCCAGTTGCTACACATTAAACATACTTGGAAAGGCACTGAGGCTTGTCTGTCAGGCTCTAATGCAAACTATCCCATAAGTTAGGGAAGAGGAACCTAAGTTCTTTCTAAGCAAACAATCATTTGTACTGTAGATCAATGCTCGGTTATACAGGACATTAGTAAGAAATCACAGCCTCTTTTTATTGAGAAATTATTCTGTCTACTTCTTTTCTACCCTCCTGTCTAACTTAGTTCTCTTCAAATCTCCCAGAAAAAAATAAAATGTAAAACCTAATGGAATGATTATAATAACATTTTTAAACGTATAAAACTTACTAAATAATTTTACTACATGTAGTCTCTAACAATAATTAACCAAGCAGGGGAATTTATCATTTTCATTTAATATGAGTAAGAACTGTGAGTCATTTAAAAGTTACATGCATCAAGACAAATAGCTATACATGTTGGATGAAAAATGAGCTCCATTCTTCCTCATGCTACTGATTTGTTGCCCTTCCCCTTTGTAATACTGTATTATGCCCAGGGAAAGAATGTAATACATAGGGTAGTTGCTAACTTTTTGGCAGTAATGACTTCTCTGCAGAAGACCTTTAATACCGTAATATTGAGCTTTATCAAGGCATTTTAGAATAAAAACGTGTGATTCATTTCTGTAGTTTTACATACCCTGAAGAAAAAAGAAGGTCCTTTATCTACTTCAGATTTTAAGAATGCCCCAATCATTACAATTTACTAATGAAAAACTGAAGCTGAGCTGGAAGCTTCCCTCCCTGACAACGAGCTTTGAGAAACAGAGGTTGCTGGGAGAAAGAAGTTATTACTGGTATCATCTAGCTATGAACACTATGAACTATAACACGAACTTACCAGGCAAGATGTGTCTAGTGATGAAATGTTGGCCTATTTTAGGGGTAACAAACCTTTCTTGGGTTTGATTTTTGTACATTCCCATAGGAGGTTACCCATGCCTAGCATTGTTAATCTGGTCATAAAACAGTGATTAGAGAGATCTATGACACTAATATTTGGGATGGGAGGGAGGGTGGATATTAATGTGCTTTAGTTAAATTAGCATGGCAACATATTATTATCTAAATAATTGTATTTATTATACAATTAACAAATGTCACTCCTCCTTATAGCAAACAGTAGAGAATGCAGGTATTCTTAGATGTTCTAGATGCCAGGAACAAAAGATGGTTATGTACTCATCCCTGAAACAAACATGTATAATACCTCCTTTAAGGGTCAGAAAACATTGAGGAAGAGTGAGCAAAAAGAATGTAAGAGCCAGAAGACAGGGAGAAGAGGGGCTATCTTTCAGCATGATGCAGCCATTGCAAATAAGATCTCACAACAACTGTGGTTACCTGCATTGGACCTCAACAACACTAAGCCGACCAATAGTAAGTCATGGATCAGGGAGGAGATCATGGGATCCTTTATTCCCTGTTAAACTTTAGATTCTGGGGGAGGGACAGTTGGCTTTAGCTTTTTATTCTAAATCTATTGTTACACAGAAAACATAAATAGGTGGGTCACAAAATAAAAAAGTATGAATATAGGAAGGGGATGTATTGGAAAGCGTCGGGGCTACCGGGTTCAGAAGGAACTAAGTGTTGGTGAGTGTAAGAATAATAGAATGTACTACATATATGTATGAAATTGTCAAAGAACAAGGATTCAGCTTCCCACTTAAGATATTGGTAAAAATTGGTGTTCCAAAGAGTAGTATTCCTCAGACCCCCTGAACATGGGTCTCAGTTAAAATGCCTGGGCAGTCTAAGGGACCTCTGACAGTGGAACCAGGATGTATCTCTGGTGCACAAAAGGACTTTGGGAGCACATTTCCCATGAAGGGATATGACCTTAACCTAGAGACAGGAGGGAGGGCCTAGTCCCTACTTCAAATGACTTGATAGATTTTGTTGACCCCCTCCTGGAAGGCATCACCCAAATGTGGAGTGGAGGGGTGGGATGGGAGGGTGGTCAAGAGGCATGGAAGGGTGGGAGAGAGGGAGGGAAGAAAGGAGGGAGAAAAGGAGGGAGAGGTTACTGGGACTGATATGTAAAATAAGAAAAAATTAAAAAAAATATTGTGTTGCAACAAACGTAATCAGAAAAGAAAATCTCAGCAACAGTTTCTTGCCAATAGCAAATGTTTTTCTTGGATCTTGGCAACTTTCTCCTAAGTTAATGTTTTTCTTATTCTTTACTCTCTGTTCTGCTTTCACTATTTCAGGCATCTTTTGCTCCCATTCATGTCTCCATCCTCTCCCACAAATAATAAAATAGCTCCTCTTCTAATCAACTCAATTTTTTGTCTTTATTTGTACATAGTTTATCAATCACTATTGTAAACCACAGTATCAGAGTTTTTAACATGTGTTAGATTTGTGCTATGTGTATAATAACAGGGACAAAGCTTTAACTTATTAACTCAATGAACTGGATATTAATCCTACTTGATAATTTGGAGTATGGGGTATATATCTGAAAATGCTTGTTCTGTAGCTCAGGGAACAACATATATGATGTGGTCCACAAATATCTAATAAAATAATTTAAGCTAATATAAGCACAAGAACTATCCTTAAATAATCTTATCTAGCTGTCCATCAAACTGAAACCTGGTGAATAAAAGTAGGGTATACATCAAGTAATACATTGTTGAATGAATCAGTGAAAGAAGTTGAGATAGTTAAGCTATGTTTTTTTGGCCAAGAATGCAATCATATAAAAACAACTAGCTCACCTTGTGCAGCATGTAAAAGCTCATTTATTACCTGGATAAATCCAGCAACTGGAGTTCTGGAAAATTAGAGAAGCTATGGCTTCCCAATGTCCTCAGGGGGTTGAAGCTCAGATCTAAGTACTTGACTGAAGAGGGAATGTTTTCCGGGATTTTGTTGAGATTTTGATCCATGCATTGGTAGCTAATGTTAGGATCCACCTGTAAAGATGACATAACAAATGTCTGTTCCCAATTGCATGTCTTCCCACTCCTCCCTAAAGACAAATAATAGGGTGGCAAAACTGGTATACAAGCATGTCCACCAACCTTCTCCTGTCTACCCTTCTATCCATGCAGTCCTTCTGTTTCATTTTGTTTGAAACAGGGACCCATTTATCCCAGTCTGAACATAAATTTACTTTATAGCCAAAGTTGAACTCCTGATCTACTTGCCCCTAGCACACCAGTGCTGATATTGTAAGTGTAAGATATCACATCTATCTTCACCCATTAATTTATCTACCACTTCGTGCTTATAAAATCTCTTCTTCCATATATTAGGAAAAAAGTATTCCTTGAATTCTCATAGTGTTAACCTTCTACTACAAGAAAATTATCATTAAATGAGGAACAAGACAATCAGGTGTTAAAGGGCTCTCAATTTTTAAATCCTCGGGTTCATAACAGATGTTCTGTGCCACTTGGTACAAAGTAATTTTTTTATCATTTTATTTATTTATTTTTGAGATTATAATTATATCATTGCCTTTTCCTCCTTTGAAGTCCTCTCTCAGAACTTTTTATTTGCTCTCTTTCACATCTATGGTCTCTTTTATCAATTGTTTTGTTACATGAATATGTATATAAACATAACCCTGATTACATAAGTACAACCTATCACTTTGTATAATATTACTCATATATATATATATATACATATATAAATATGTATATATATATATATATTTATGATTTTAGGAATGACCATTTGGTAATTGATAACCAATTAGTGTTCTCTTCCCTAGCAAGAATCTTTCCCATGCAAAAACAAAGAGAATTACAAGAACCAATCAAAATGCATAAATCTGGATCCCAGTCTCAAGGGATACGTTTACAATAAAACTCTTGCATCTAACACTCAGAGTTCATTGTAAAAGGGGGGAATTAAAAAGTATAAGAGCCAAGGGAACAAGTTTATTGTGATATTGTGTCTCCTAATAATGTCAGAAACTACACTCATAAAATCTCACTAATATGACTGCCTAAACATGAGCTAAACAAGGACAACAAATAGACATGCTACCATGGATAGAGTAAAAAGCCCAGGAGTTCTCAACTCTCTATAAAGAACTACAGGCAACTAAGGAATCTTGAGAGTGAGACAATGTTTGTTGTTTGTTTGCTTTATAATAACTTCAGTGGATTTAATTTGTTTTATGTGAAATGCACATATTTTTGTAAATACATAATTTCATGTAAATTTACTATCATTTTAATTACTTATCCTAATTATATACAACCACATGAAAAGTACCAGTAAAGACATCAAGACATTTCTTAGCTACTACCTATTTTAGTAATTAATTTTCTTCTTTGGCTTACTGACTTTAGCAACTTGGTGTAGAAATGAGAGGAAGTCTTAGAGTGCATGGATTTCAGTGATGGAAAGCAGTAATCAAGACCAACTGTTTTGTATTGTTATTGTCCCCACTTAGTTTTATCTATTTTTTCACATATACTGTAAACCCTATTCTATAACTTTCCACCTAATTTTATAATTATATGACTTCTTCCAGAAAACGATTTGCTTAACCCAATGAATTTTGTTTTTTCTCATTTAAAAGCAATAGAATTCTCAAAGGACTAAATGAGATCAGAGCTCATCTCAAAGCTTGCTATAATTAAAGTGATAAATATTAATGTTAATTATCATTGGCTATTATTAATCTCATGCTGCATATCCACATTTTACTCACATGTTACATATTTTATGCTAATCTCCAAAACATCTTTTAAATATGAAGAAAATAAAAAGATGGGGTAATGCACATAGGGAGAGAATTTATACAGGTAGGTTCCCCCTTCATATATGTGTGCTTAAATGATACAGTGCTTGAAGACAGTGCTTCCAATAGAATAAGGTGTCACTTGCCCTCTTTTATTTCCTTTACAGGTTTCAATCACCATGCAACTTTGTGTTCCTTATGTAATTATTTTCCAAATGTTGTTCATTTGATGAACTGGACCATGAGCTTTGATGCTCTGATGATTTTCTTTGCTACATTGTCTCCAAGGCTCAGAAAGGTGCATGGTGACTTTTCAATGCCCAGAAGCTATTTGTTGGATGAATGAATGAGAAAATTTCTGTACCTGGTGGAACAGAGGTCCATCTAAGACAAATGGTAAGCTTTTTTTTGATAAGGGACATGGACAGTACAAAAATAAATGCTATAAGAATCCAGTTGTCACTGTACTCAACATCAGCTAACAGAAAAAGAAAGGGACTCAAACCTACAAAGCATGCCTGGTTCACAGGCAATAGATCCATAACATGGACGGTGAGCAACATCTATACATGTGGAAAAGGGAAGAAATGCATATCATAGGAAGAAAAGAATATAAGCAAGTAAACGGTGGGAACACATTCAAATGAATTAACTTCAAACAGGCAAGTGAAGAGAGCATAAGTCATGGGTAGCTACATCCTGAACACAACAAGAGCATCAGACTTTGTCCAGCAGCCATTCTTTCATTTGCTTCACACATACAAACTGAAAACCTATTATGATCTAGACACTGGTGGCATAGTGATAAAGCCAGTAGGAAAGTGAGGATAAATAACTTAAAAATAGACAAAAGTATGAGATGATATGATCAATGAAAACACATACTGAAAGGCCAAAGGCAGAGATCTCCATGTGACAATCAAGAAAAAAAAAAAAAAAAACCCACCCTGAGGAGACACTTGTATAGAGATCTAGAGATCTACATAACCCCTGAGGAGACACTTATACAGAGATCTACATAAAATGAAAGTTAAAAATTAAATCTTGAAATCAAAACCCTACATTCCAGTGCTGTAGCTATAAGTCACTGTTGAATGTGAACAATGTGTGTAGGATACATCAAAATTTTTGGCAAACATAAAATATTGCTGACTTTCTAATATTCTGTACCAAAAATGGGACATAAACTCTTCTTAACAGTTGGACTATATTTGACTATGTAAAATATATCACTAAAACTAACTTCATTCATTTTTTCTTTCAGTTTGACCACTAGGAAAATTTTAAATTATGTAAACAGATCCCAAAATTTGACCATAAGACAGCTCTGATCTAGGGGAAGGGTGAAGTGAATAGGTCAAGCAGTGTAAATACTCTGTAAGAAAAAAGCAGTCTTTGTGGCATTAAAGAGTTATTAAAAGATTATAAAGGAGTAATTTCATACATTCAGTCCCCTGGACCAATGAAAACAAATGAAGACGAAAGTGTGGTTACAGAAAGGACTGTAAATTAGGAAACTAGTCATCTGGAGACAAGGCCAATTGAACTGAGACCTAGGCTTATGGAAGGGAGAGGCAGCCTTTGGGGCTTGGCAGAATACAATATACATCAAGGGACTTTATCTCAGTATGAACCTGATTGGAAACTCTATCTCCGTACACATAACTAAGGAATCAGAAGGCAAGATTCCAAGATAGCAAGGAGTTAGTCTTCGTTATGCTACAGTATTTTCTCTCAGGTCAACACCATGACTCTAACTGGTAATACCTGTCTTCTGAGCCTGCCTCACCCTAAATTATTTCCCTGTTTGCTCAGTTCTATTGTGAGCTTCTGAGATAATTGTGTGGTCTGTGCAGTGAGAAAACAAGAATTAGTCATGAGTCACATTACTCACTAGTCTGTATTTCACCAAGAAGGGGGTAACTGACTAAGCTGATGTTTTACACTGCTCTCGGACTCAGTCTGTTGTCTCTGTCTCTCTCATTCTCTGCATCTCTATCTTTCGTCCTCTCTTTTTCTTTCCCCTTTCCTCCCTTTCATTTCATTATCTTCTAAAATTAGTGGCAGAATTTAAAATTCTCAGAAAATTCTATCATTTGGAAAAAAAATGTTACAGCTAGCAAAGTGTGTGTGTGTGTGTGTGTGTGTGTGTGTGTGTGTGTGTGTGTCCACTTGCATGCATTCACACATGTGCCAGGGCAGACACTAGGCACTCAGAGGATATCTTAAAGGAGTAGATCCTCTGCTTCCACCATGTGGTGCTTGAGGACTGAACTCAGGTAGTCAGGCTTGGCAGCAACTTACTGAACCAGCTGAGCCACCACTCTGTCATTCACAGATGCTACTTAGACAGAAATAACAGCCACCTTCACCTGAGTTGGAAAGGGAAGGAATAATTTCTGAAGGCTGAGTGTCCACAGTACCAAACAGTAAAATCTGATATCACTAGTTTTCTCCACGGTAATTCTTTTACAGTGTGAAAACTGGCATCAGAAAGGTCCAGTAACTTCTTTGATGTCATTCAGGCAGGTGACAGAAACAATATGCTTAGTCGTACTAATTTCAAGCTCAGAAGTCTAACTGGAACAAAACACTGCACTGGCTGCCTGTTGCTGCCCTGCTAACACTGAGTCTCTCTGTCCCTACCCACAGCTTCTCCGATTTTCAGTTAGTTTAACTCCTCTGTGCAAAGTAAACAAATCAGAACACACAACAGGAAGCTCAGAGCTCGGGGCAGTTTTGAGAAACAAGGGAGGCTAGCAGGAAAGGAGATGGTTAAGACACATACCTCCACACAGGGATCCAAGCTTTCAGGTCTCAGGGAGAAGAACAAAGCCATCATCAGTGTCCCAGGCAGGCAGAAAGAAGGCATCATCCTGGCATTTTCCGCAACCAGAGGAGGCCATGAGAAAGCACGATGAACTAACTGTAGCTGTTGGCAAGGCAGAGTCCCTGGGGCACCGACCTCTTTTCTCTGGGCGGGTGCCTCTCTGCAAGTACTATATTCAAAGATGTTCTGGGCTAAAGGGTGAGAGGAAGTGAGACTGGCAACCTTAGCATTCTCACTTTTTTTTTCCCATTTCTCTAGAATTCATCTGCCCTATCGCAGGAGGCAAGTTAGAAGACTAAGAACAGGAAGAAGGTGTTTGTCGACCAGCCAGTGGAGGAACAGCAAGAGGAAGCTGGCTTTAATCCCAGGAAGTCATCTGACCTCTGGGCTTGGTGAACGTAGGAAAGTAACCAGATACTCGCCAGTGTATCTGCCTCGAACAACGTCTACATTCCTGTTTTGTTTTCAGAAGTGGTCAAGCTAGACTTCTAAGTATCTGACGGCTCTGTACCGCAGACTGGATGTTACAAACTACAGAAACTTATGTTCTCATAATGCTGAAGTGTAGAAGCCAGGATCAGGATGTGTCTGTGTCCTGATCTTTTCTTGTATGTGTGTACATATACATACCTGTGTGTATACATGCTTATTCATGGGGGAATGAATATTTCATGTGTGTGTACCTCTATGTGTATGAACATGCAAGTGTGTGTGTGTGTGTGTATGATTATCAGAGTTCACTATTGGGTTCCTTCCCTGTTTGTTCCTACTCTTCTGATACTATTAATTATTAATTCCTGCTATAATTATTGCTATTAGATAAGGAAACAGACACAGTTTATTACAAAGGGGAAAACATTCCCAAGAGTAGGCTAGTGAGCTGAGGGTAAAACTCAGAAGACTCCACTGTAATTTTGGAGCCAGGGTCTCTAACTGAACCTACTCATTGATTGACTAGGCTGACTGGCCAGTGAGTCCTTGAGATCTACTCATCTACTCACCGCTCCCCAGTGCTGGGGTTTCAGGGACATGCAAAGTATCTGTCTGTTTGTTTAATGTGGGTGGTGGGGATTTGCAGGTCTTCTGGCATATGAATCACTTAACTAACTGAGGTGTTTCCACAGCCCCTGCATCTTTTAAAAATAATACTGCTTATATTGTACTAAGGCAAACCCATATAACATTATTTTAATTATCTCATTAAATCATAGTCACATGGTGAGGCAATGAGAGATGAAGACTTCAACATATGAATTTCAGAGAACACCACTACATAATTCCACATGAAACATTGCTGGTGAAGAAATGCCCACATATGAAGCTAATGGAAAGGTTCTGAAGAAACACCATGAGGGATGCAGAAAGGCTTCAGAATCACATATACTCAGATCAAGTTTAGGGCCAGGTAACATTACTCAAATGACTTCATTTACCAAGCTATACATTCTGACCTGTAAATCTGAACCCATTTTCTTTCTTCTCCCTCCCTCCCTCCCCCCCCTCTCTTTCTCTCTCTCTCTCTCTGTCACACACACACACACACTATAGAAACTCATATCTAGACTGCTTATTCTTAGAAATCTATGTGATTTCTCCCGGATCATTTATAGTCCCAGAAACTTCTGATAAATATTGAAGGAGACCCCTGCACAGTAGGGACTTCTTCATGGACCCTGAATTAAGCACAAACCACACCCAGGCATCTGTTTTCACAGAGATCCTTTATTAATCAGGGGAAGAAAAGTTAAAGTGGCTGCTATCTGACTCATGCAGAGAGCAGCAACAAATGACCTTGCGGGTATCATTTTAAGAGGAGAATAAGGTCCATATTAGAATGGACTATGATGTGGTGGTGGTAGAGGAGAGAGAGGTGAGGAAGAAGGGGGAAGGAGTACTTGTCCTAGAGGAACAAAGGACTGGCTCTAGATAGAGGGGTAACAGTTTGACAAGACACATAGGCAAATAGTGGTTTATAAAGATAAAAGGGAAACCCCATGTTAGGATGAGGTATTTAATTTTAGTTGAGCATGTTAATTAGGTGAAGCAAAGGGGGCTTCTGATTTCCGGACTTTGGTAGGCAGCCTGAGGAAGAAAAAGTGGTCAAAAAGGGTATAGAACTTGGTGACTAACTTTCAGACTGTAATCTGATTTTAGCAAGACAGAGGGAATAGGGAAGAACGGCAAGGCCTGCTAGACCCACAGGCTCCAGTGAGTGTGCTAGTGTCCCTTCAAATATATCACCCTCCATTGTATTTATCACTTTGAGACTGGGGGAACTAACCTACAGAAAGAATCTTCCCTTCCCCCAAATTCCTTTTTCTACCCTGTAAAACCCAGTCCCACTACAAAATGATGTTCTGTCACCACTCCCAGGGATAGACTGTATCCCTTCATTGTTCTGATTAAGAAATCTATCAGTAGCTTCTGAGGAAAAGAAAAGGATATATGATTCAGACAGACTACATAGTTACCAACTCAGCATTTGCTACTATGTAAAATAAAGACAAAGGGTTGGAGTGATACCTAAGTATTTAAGAGCAATAGCTGGCTCTTCTGAAGGATTGGGGTTTGAAACATCTGTAACTCCAGTTCTAGGAAACTTGCTCTCTTCTGGCCATACATGAATATTATATATGATACACATACAAATATGTAGGTCAACACCCATATGCACAAAAAGTAAATATTCTTTAAATAAATAAGAAGATAATTGCACTTATCTTGCATGATTGAATTAAATTAATAACAGCTTTGATTCTTATCATATCCCATAAAAAGTGACTATGGCAATTATCAAAACAATAAAAAATAAGGCTAATCACACTTCCTCAAAGACTTGTTGTAAAGCTCTCAGAACAATATCTTCAAAAAGGCAAGTTCACTATAAGTTTCTGATTAATGAAAGTAGGCTAAACTTGCCAGGGGTTGGTGTCATAGTCCTTTAGTCCCAGCACTCTGGAGGCATAGGCATGCAGATCTCTGTGAGTTCGAGGCCAGCCTGGTCTATAGAGCTAGTTCAGGACAGGCTCCAATGTAATACAGAGAAACCCTGTCTCTAAAAATAAAAATAAAACAAAAGCAAAGTAGGTTAAACTCATTGGAACAGTGTCTTAATTGACAAACCCAAGATATGCCATAAACACCTCCAATCTAGCTTATCTAAAACTAAGCTGCAGAAGAGCAGAACCGAATGAATCAGATACAGATTTCTTCAGATACTCCTTTTCCAAAGCTCTCTGGGGCTTTCTGGCCACCAGCCTACCTACAGGTTCAGCAACAGACTTTCTCCCAAAGAAATAAAGTAGAAAGTCATAGTAGGACATGCAAGTCCTGTTTTGTCCTCCACATGCAGACACAGTCATGTGAATACACAGGGGCATGTGACACACAGATTCAATTAACTTAAAGGAAAAGATTAAAGTCTATCTTTCAAAGTTAATAATTTCCTACTCTGTTAATCCCCCACACACATTTAGAAATTGTGCCATTTGATGATCCCTCATGAAAGAGGTCACCTCTCTGAGGAGTGGATGGGGGTGGGATTGGGAAATGGTGGGGGAGTGGGAGGACAAAAGGGAGAGGGAAGTGGGGCTACTATGCAAAATAAGATTGTTTTAAGTTAAATACAAAAGAAATAATAATAAAATAGAAACCCATAAAAGAATGTAAAAAACTATTTTAAGTATCTAATGCTACACAATGAAGATAGTAGGAAAGAAAATAAATGTGAAATATAATAATAATAATAATAATAATAATAATAATAATAATAATAAACTTCTTACACAATTGAAAAAATAAGAAATTGTGCCAAATTCTAGAAACTGCAAATGGATAATTCTAAAATATAATTGCTCATTTTCATCCATCATGGACTATGTCACATTATCTAGGCTAGTGTGATTCATTGTAAATCAGTCTTCAAGAATCCAGACTTACTTCTTTACAAGTGTCAAATTTCATACTATTTCTTCTTCAGTCCAAGTTTTCCCTGTAAAATCATACTATGTAGAATATGTCTTAAATGTCTTAGTGATATTCATTGGACCTTAAGCCTTCCCTGACACCCTCTACACACAAACATGTCACCAAAGAGAAACAAATGTGTGTTAATTTAGGACAGAAGTAACTACACCACCACTTACTAGGATACAAATGTCCTTTCTTTCTACTATTGGGAAAGAAGCCCCTGAGTGGTCAAGTGGGAAACAATAAAATAATCCCTTCTAGACTATTCCTCATGAGGCATTGATGCCTGTGTTTTATATACAGCTTCATGGAAAGATTTCCGAACTAAAGGAGAAATATTCCTGAGAGTGCTTTGTGTAGGTATTTCCTTATGAAACTAATGAGAATAATGCATTATCATATATGACATTAACCAGGTTATTTTAGTTCTCTGAGCCTCTTCTAGAAGATTTTCTTTGTCCATTAGGCTTTTAGATCTACCAAGACAACCCCTAAATATATTCTATCTCTGTATACCCCATTCCTATCATAGCATCCTGTACCTTGTAGAAATTCAGTACACATCAGGTACATCAATTATTACGGTAATAACCCTGAAAACTAATAGTATTTTATTTGTGTCTCATTTTATACATTGTCCAATGAAATACAAGGTAGTGAAGACTTCAGTGTCTGCTACATCCTTAATTACAGCTCTAATGTCCACTGATATCTGTCAATCATAAGTGCTCAAGATGCTTTTAATAAAAAAGGGGCAAATTCTTTATACATATCCCTTGTAGATACTGCTCATTATATTTCTTCTATTTTTATCAACCTCTGATAAGGGAGAAACATGAAACGTCTACTCACTTCCTTTTCAAGAAGGTGACTGATGACAAATACTTTTAACTGGGCTCTGATGCAACTTTGGGCTAGACTTGCATGTCACACTATTGTATGTCATAGTGACTAGCACCTCACTTTGTAACTCAGGGTGTTATGCCACATATTTTGCAAGGAAATTGGTAATGACATTAGTACATTGTTTTATTCAGTAAAAAGCTGCTTACTTCCATGAACGAGTCACTCATTTTCTACCTTTGTTTCTTAATTTATTTATTCATTTTAAAAATTTCATTTTGCATCCCAACCACAGTTCTCCCTCCCAACCCACTTCCTACCTTCTTCACCTCTCAGCATCCCACCCCTGCATCCTCTCCTCCCAACAAATAAGGGGAATCAACAATGTCTGGCACATTAAGTTGGGGGAGGACCACGCCCCTACCTCTGCATTAAGGCTGAGCATGGCATGTTGTTATAGGGAATGGGCTACTGCAAGGGAC